ATAACGTGTCAGTGATGTGACAAATTATGTCAACTAAAAGATAAATTAAAATTATGAAGTGATTTTTAAATCAAAATCTATCAGGTTGAAAAAAATTACACATTAAAGAATTCAAGTCACATCGAGTGTTACATTGCAATTCGAATTTAATTACGTTTAAAAAGTCACGATGATGTATGAAAAGAAAAATTTTGCAGAATATCTAAAAATTTGGCTATAGATTTAAAAATAATTTTGTTGAATTATTAAAATAATTTTGAGATAATATTTTTCGCAATAAATTCTTTAGTGATTTGAAGATGATCAGTGTTAGCATTAGTGATATTAAATTGTTTGTCAATTTAATTTGTGATGTTACATTCTCTAGCTGTATTTAAATAAACACAGTAAAAAAGAAACACAGTAAAAAAAAATACGGTCTTAAAATCTTAAGACTGTGTTTCAAGATCGATAAATAATTGGCGCGTTTGAACTAAAAATTGTAAAAATTCATACAAATGTAAAAATATTATTAAACACCAAGACCAGCGTTGATCGAATATGGTACTCTTGATTCATTTGTGCTTAAAATAATTTTGTAGGCATCTCAAGCATGATGAGCAATGCTGCACAGAGTTTTGACATTCTAGCAACTACTTTGAGCGTTTTATATAATAATTATTTTGATGGTTTAACACAATTATTTTTAGATTTATACCTATCTAAAATTTTAGATATTTCAGCAAAATCATTCTTTTCGCGTAGAAGATCTACTGCGAAGAGCGTTATTCATGAAACACTAGATTTCTTTAATCTGCAAAAAGATGACTTCTAAAGGTGTGGAGGCGGATAATTTCGGAGAACTCGTTAAAATTTTACGCCTCTAACTTACGAGATTTCCAACAGCACGTTGAACAATTCGGCGAATCGCATCCGATACTGAACTTTCTCGTTGTATGCGTATTCTTTTATTATTTACTACCACCCACGTATCGTAAACACGTTGGCGCGGACAACAATAAGAGCATTGCCGAGAGAGCATTACGCAAGCGCTACCTTACACTTGCTTCTTCAATTACGGACCCTTATACCGTATAAATGGCTGCAGTGCTACAGTCGGGTACACAAATAATTCACAGGCCTATGAAAGTTTGTTACAAGTATGCAAATAATCTTCTTTTTTATATATTTTTGCTCGCTGAATACGAATCCGTTGTCCAAAGTTGGCTATTACGTCACAATTTTGAGAAAAATGATGTTAAAGGGAGTCACTTTTTTGGGTTTTTTGACACCGTTTTTTCATAACATTGTGACGTGATAGCTAATTTTTTCAACAGATTTGTGTTCAGCAAGCAAAAATACGTCGGAAATGATAATTCACATTCGTATTACAAGAAAAAGATCAGATTGTATTGGATATGTTATATAAAAAAACCTCTCTTCAAATTACTATATCTCAAAAACAAAAAATTAAATTAAAATGAGATAAAATGCACGTTAAAGCTAAAAGATGATACTTTCATATGACATTAACAAATTTGGAAAAAAATTTGATGCCAGTGTTAACGTTTTAGAAACTTTAGGAATTATCATTTTCTAGCTCTCTGATATCATTTTTCTTAAGTGATAACCAACTTGGAATAAGGAATTCGTATTTAGTGGGTAAAAATACTTTGGAAATGGCTATTTGTAACAAAAAAAAGATCAGATTTAATAGATCTGTGTAATCGAAAATTGAAGAACAGAAGAGAATCATTGCGTGATTAAAGTAAACGCTGTTATCGTAAAGTCTCTATTGATTTTTTGAAGATGGGACAAGTGAAAATGAAGAAAGAAATTCGAGGGAGATAATAAAAAACACAAGTTTTTCGACAATGATTTCTTATTTAAAAGAAATTAAAGTTTCTTAACGTTTATTTCTACCAATGTAAATTAATTTTTTAATTTTGGTTTAAATTTATTTAGAGTGCGGAGATCTATTATTAAAATTGTATAGCTCTTTCTTGAGTAAATAAGATTTGTAAATAATTCATTAATTCATTGTATTCTTTGTCTCAAAATGACACGATTTCAACATCATTACAAGGCTTTCTAGTCTTATAAAGATAAACTTATTCTTCATTTTTCTTAATTGTTAGAATTAGAAAAATATAAAATGTAAGTTATAAATTGAGATTAAAGTTGATCTACATTGAAATAAAACATTAGACTGCAATTCAAATTGAAACGTTAACGAACGTCTCGCTAATTGATCAAGGCCGTCTCGCAATTGTGTTCTCTAATGTTGTGACTCTCTGCATATGACAAGATGATAGTGGCGGTTATTTCGATAACAGATTAAACAGATGCGCAGCCACCGGCGTCTGTTTGAACGGGACTCGTGGCCGGTTTACGCAAAGCGTTATCGCGTGCAATTTGAGAGGAGTACTCCTCTAACAATAAGTAGTGGACCACACGCAAGTGATTCGGCGCTCTCGAGACGTCGTCGCGATATTTTTACACTAACGTCTCTCGGTCAGGCTCTTTATCGTCTCTTTGCACTACGTTAAGAAACTAAATTTTCCGCCACCACTTCGCGCTTGTGATCATTTCTTGTCAAAACATGGAAACGCGTCGATACTTTTTTCAATTTTAAAAACATAAATAATTGACATGATTGTCTTGTTATATCACATCTTTGCTTCAAAAGTGATACAATTTAAAAAATCGAAAAATTACGAAAATTTCATTTTTTAAACAATATCATTTTTAAATAGACTAAAAAATATTTTGTACTTGCGTTAACATTGTGCTGTTAAAACTATTCCTGTTAATATTATATTGAATTTTTAACATAAAATTTCTGTTTAAATTTCTTGGAGTAAAATCTCATTCTAAAAGAATTAAAATACTGTCACTATTGAAAAAGAGTAAAAAATTTGCATTTTCTATTGCAATTTCTATTTTTGAAGTAAGTTTCACTCCAAATGAAAGAAATTTTAGAAAATAGAGTGAAAATTTGCTACTCTTATTCAGGAGTGCAAATTTTTTTACTCCTTTTCAATTGTGGCAGTATTTTACTCTTTTGGAGTGAAATTTTACTCTAAGAAATTTAGAGAGTAGGTATTAATTTAATATAATGTAATTACGTATGTTATTTTTTGTGAATATTTTATGTTAAATTGATGTTTAATTCTTAATGTTAAAATAACACAATTTATAGTAAGTGGACAAATAACATAAATATTGTAATTTTAAAATGTAAATTCTAAGATAAGTGAGTAAAAAAAAGATGTTCATGTTAATTTTAATGCACTTTAAATATTAATTTCTCTGAAGAAATATGATCCCACAATTTGTTTTTAAATTGTATTAGAGTGTTATATTTTTTAATGTTTATTTTTATATAATGTGTTACATTTTAATATATTCATCTTCTGTTAAATTGATTGAAATAATTTAGCTGGAAAAAATTTTCCAACTGTAAAGCAAGGATGTGACGATAAAATAGTTTTACAAGCACATTTTACATTCTTTTGCGAGACTGTCTTTTTAATTCCACTGATTCCACTTAACATATGTATTTATCCAGTAGTAGAAGCAAAAGATTTTTGCTCTTATCTAATATCAGGATAATTTTCTTTGCTGCTAGAGTAAACATTCAGGCATTCAAAAAACATCCGCAAATATTATTAGATATATTTTATAACGATTAATGTTATAATGTCTTTCAATAGTTTTCATTTGGATGCACTCAGTGCGCAGTAGTGCACATTAGAAGTCTGTTAAAGCTATCGTACATAAATTAACGTAAAAATGTGTATTTAATATAAATACATATAAAAATGGAGGATTACACCAGGAAATCCTCAATACATTTTATTGTACTATTAAGTAAAATCTGTATTATATAATTCGAAATATTTTACTTTTACACGGATTAAATGTATAACGGTTTTAATATGCACTAGTGCGTCCAACCGCAATCACTATTATTAAAAAATTCTCTGAGAATTTTCAGATTTTTCAGTAGTAATTTTGTTCAAAATTCCAGGTAAAAGATTAAAGAACTTTTTAATGCAATTTTGTGAAATATAATAAATTGCAAGAAACACAAACGAACTATATATTGAAAATTAGTAGACAGAGATTTTTACAACACTATATCTATATTTTCTACAACTGGAGCTGCGAAACCTGTAGGATAGTATAGAAGGCTGAGTAAACCTGGTTTACTATAATATAGTATTAGTGAGTTACTCTATTGTGTTAATTGATCGTCTTTTACTGTTACTTTGACTTTTTTACAAAAACGAGACATATATATGAGAATGTTCACACGTGAATATACGCGAATTTATTGCTAATTGTCAATAGTATTTTGCATTGTTAAAAAGAAATATGATTAAAGTAGCAATGTTTTCAGAAAGAGATAAAATTTAAATTTAAAAGTAAAATTTCAAAAATTTCCTTAAATTCCGATAAAATTCCATGAAAATCCTTAATAGGTTTTCAAGAATAAAAAAGAAAAATTCCTCTAAAAATTCCAAGTTTTCCAGGTTTTTAGGTAGATAGTTTCGAATAGCGCTCAATCGAACGCACGATTAAGCGCGTCTCCAAACCTGTGCCTTTTATTTTTTTTCATTATTACATGCGTAAGAAAAAGATCCTAAATCGATAATCATGAATCGCGGAGGAGACATTTTCCTGGTTTTCCAAGCTCCGTTTTCACGTTTCGCATCGCGACATTTTTCCGCCGACGAGGCCCGCAAACCGCTCTCCGGGCGACGCGAGCGCCTAAGCGCTTCCGTAACATATTCGCAGATTGATAAATTACTCCACGTGTTTAAGTTCGACCATGACGGGCAATAACTTAACATACGCTCTGATACCTCGTCTCTCCCGGTGTATCTTATCCCACCGGTCATCTCGCTCGCTCGCTCGTCGCGATTATTTTATTATTTTCCTCGGCGCGGCGGGATGGGAATTGTACGTGCGATATATTCTACAGGTGCGGAAATCTTCTCCGTCGTTATACTTACACGTTGGTCAGCTGTTCCGGATGACGATGCGCTTGCTCGTCGTCCTGATGGAGGATCCTGCGGTGCCGCTCTGCATTCCGGCGGTTGCGCACGTAATGGCACTCATTCGATTTCCGCACGATGGTCCATGCGGAGGAAATGCGGAGGAGATGCAGAGGAGATGCCGCCGTGCGTCAAATCTTCGCTGGGCCGAACTTTCTTATCCCGCGTAATTTCTCTTAATTTTTTTTTATCAACGAGATGAATCGAGCACCCCGTCTTTTTGCGCGCGATCAATTTCAAAAAAGGAATCTTCCACGCGAGCGCGAGCGTGGATCAACGAGATCGGAATGCAGACGTATAAATTACGAGGATCGTTCAGAACAAGTTATCAACTAAATCCGGCGCGGAGACGAATGAGCTACTAGCGGGAAGCAAGCTAGGCGACGAAAGTTCGTGGGGCCGCTATTTGATTCGGCATTAAGTCCGTAATTATATATATTATAAATACTGATGCCTCTTACGTGTTCTGAAACCGTTATCATACGTGTCGATTATTTCACACTCGTTATCGGTCGTTTCTCGATGCTTATCGTTCGATGGAAATTTTTCCAGAATGATAACGGTTTATGAAAAAGTTGCGAAAAAGAAAAGGTGAAAGAGAGGTTCAGAAATCCCAGCGGAAGGTGTCACGCGCGGGGACCAAAACTGACTTAATTTCCGAGAGTTCAGAAATAGTAACCCCCATCAGCTACAATTCAGCGATTATAAAAGTAGCTCAGGGTCGAATTAAAAGGTACGACTGTCCAGCCGTGCTTCTTCGTGACCCCTTTCTGAATGAAAAATAAAACGAGCGTACGCATCCAAGCCTCGCATGGGGAAAGAGGGAGGGAAAGAAGAGCGCAAAAGTTCTCTTTGTTCTTGATCACTAGAGCTCCTTCCGAGCTGTTTGTTACTTTTGTACTGTAGTTTAATGCTAATCTTAGCCTCCGACTGCTCGGATGAGATTTCTTTGTCTTTGTAAATTTATCATTTACTTCTACTTTATTATATTTTACTTTCAATTAATTTTATTTTGATTTTATTTATTTTTTATTATTTTCTACGGACCGCTTGGAGTTCACAAGAGCTTGGAGTTTCGAGAGCTTCTTTTCACGTCTACGGCATTGAGAATCGAACTCACCGGGATTAGAAAGCGTTTCCAAGAGCCCTGAAAGTTACGCGACTTCTGAGTCGGAGTAATCGCGCTCTTTTCGCGGTCACTCGCTACCCCTTTTACGCGCGACAACGCACGACGGCAGATAAGATCTGTGAGAGACGCGCCGCGTACACCGAGATCGGCGCGATAGTTGGCACTGACAGATGAAACTATTTCATTCACAGCCGTCGTCGCCGTCGTCGGGCTTGACCGCGCGAGTCGTCGTCGTCGACGGGCTTGACCGCGCGAATCGCCGCCGTCGTGCGTGTGTGCGTGTTAACGCGGCTCCCGTGCACGTGCACGTACGCGCGAATACGGCGACGTGGATGAATGAACCAGCGCGCATACACACGCATACGCACGTACAAACGTACACAACGAAGGAACGCGCGATTACGGTGTAGGTGGTTACGAGCGTGAACGAGCGGGAGGATGTGCAACGGGGCTTTAAACGAGCGCGGCCGAGAAGACGTGCGGGTCCTCCTGGTGCACGCGTACCTTTATTATGCGTAAATTGGAAAAATATTCACGAGCAGAACCGATCACCATAACGTCAAAATGACGGTAAAATGAATCATTACTGATCAAAAAGTGACTTTTAATATAGAGTCCATTTTGGAACCATTTTTGATGTGATAATTTTTTAGTCTGTTTGGGTTATTGCAAAACTCACCGAGTTTTCATCCGACAGGCAAGACATCACGGAGAAAAATAATTTCGCTATGAACGTAAAAAATTTGCAAAATTATTTTTATTGTTAAATTTGTTTGCTGTTTAGCAAATAAATTTGCATATTTAACAAATTTTTATATTTGTTGTAAATAATTTTTGTAGCGAGTAGAAAAAAATAGGTATTTGTTACTGCAAATAATTTTGTGATCTTTATATTTGCAAATAGCATTTGCCATTTGTATCATAGCATAGGATTAGCGTTCATAGCAAATTTTTACTCTCTGATCCTTAAGTAAAAAACGAATTTTACGTAAAATCGAATGAATAATATAACATCAATATCAACTAAATTTGAAACAATTAAATTATAATGCAATGTAGATTGCAAACATAGTCTGTAAAATAATAAATCTGTCTGTAACCCTTGACATTTCCACTTTCGTTATCCGTTATAAATATAGCGGCACACGCATTCAATACTTAAAATATTAATAATGATACTATTAGAGTACTTAAAATAATTTTAAATTGAATCATTATCTTATGACAGTTCAATTTAATTTTATCATTTTTTTTTGCGTGCGTTTGAGATAAGTAATAATAAAATGCTGCAGTTGTATATTTCGAGACTTTATTATCTCATATAAACATAACAAATCGTTGTGCTAGAATTTATGATATTTGTATATTACATAAGTAAATCTTTTATACAGTGTCAATACTTCAGATTTCCAAACAGTATGTTTTAGGCACTAGAAAATGTTAATAAAGTCTCAATATTATCTGTATCTTTCTTGCAGTAACTTTTCAAAGGACTTATCTGATTATATTAATATAATTTTCACTACATCTAAATATAGTGAATATACTATAACATTGTTAGTAAATGATTGCAGAATATTTTATATATTATACTCTCGATATCTCGTTGCAAAGCTAAGTAAACAAATTTTTTTGTTTTTATTCATTATATAAGAGTAAAGATATTTAATATAATACTATAATAAAAGAACTCCTTTACATGGTGTTTCCCTTTCTTGTGACACACATATTATCATATATATTATATTTATACATGAATTTCTCTCATTATATTTGTGCCCGTAAATTAAAGTATATGTATATTTATACTTTTAATATAAAATACTGTATCACCTACTTCTCTCTCTTTTCTTTTTGTATATCTTTTCAATTATTCGTGTCTGTACGAATATTTATACAAGTACATCCCCCTTTCCAAGATAATTTCGTAAAACATTAAACAAGAAATTTTTTTAATGCCGGAAAAACTGTCAGAGTTACTAGGAAAATGGTTTTTTTTTGTTCCCACTGGTTGATAGATCGATAGCATCTTCAACATTTCCTTAAAATGTATAATGCCTGATATGTAAACTTTGAAAAAATGAAAAGAAGAGGAAGAAAAATTAAAGAAGAAAAAATACGGTTGTGAGATTGGAACAATTGCGAGTTGAACAAGAGTGCAAAGAGAAGCAGAAACTGAAAGGAAAACAATGAAAAGAAAGATTCAAAGTGCATATGATAAAAAATTGTTAATGACAAAATAAAAATAGGATAAAGCTGAAATTCTTCAAGTAAAAGATAAGTTAATTAAACTCAGTAAACGAGAATGGATTAAAATTTTAATCAATTTAAATTCATTTGAATGGATATTTTAGTAACATTTTTAATAGTCCATTTTCACCTTTTTAGATTCAATTAAACGGAAATTTTTTTTTTAGATTTATCGGATCGAAAATTACATTTCCTATTTAGAATTTTAAATTGAGCAGTATTCACAATGCACTTAAAGAATTAAAATTTTTTTTTTAGATTGAAAAGATAGAGATGTGTTTCATACAATTCCTAAATGCATAAAAATACACTAGAATTAAAAAGGATTCATTTTAATATTTGCGAATGCGTACTTTTGAAAATCTGTAAATCTATTTAATCCATTTCAATCCTTTTTTGTTTAGGGGATACCAAGTGATTTGAAATGCCCCATGATGATTACTTTCATCCGAAATTTTCAAAAATTTAAAAATAATGTAATCCTCGGATCGAAGTAACAACACGGAGCCCTAGTCGAGTCGTAACCACAAACTTAAATCATTATTTAAAAAAAAAAAATAAAATAAAATAAGTGAATGTTTATTCTGCGCACTTGTTCTCAGTTATCAAGGGCGTAAATTGAAAATGGTGATCGAAAAAAGAGAACCAATAAATAAATGTTGTCAGCATTTGTTTGGATAAAACGATGATAAAACGATGATGAATGAATGCGCTACTCCTGATGATGTCCAGAACTCTAAATTGCATGTTCCTTAACTTGCTCTTTAAATTCCAATTCACAATATATTTCGATTTAATTCTTCTTTCTAGTTATAATCTCTCATCTCAAATACGAATTGAATTTGATTCGCAGAACAAATAATTTTGCAATTAATTAATATAATTTGCAATCACAAGATTTAGTCTTTGGTTAGCTCTGACAATATTTCAAGAATTTTATTTTTTCACGTACATATTGTAACTCTTGTTTAATCTGTTATATACCTTGGCAAGAGAAATAAATTTGTATAATTACAAATATTTTGATTCATTTAAAATAAAAAATGTCAAAATAAAAATAAAAATAAAAATAAAAATAAAAATAAAAAAAAAAATAAAAATAAAAATAAAAATAAAAATAAAAATAAAAATTAAATTAGACCAAGAAAGTTAATCTACACTAGTAGAAACGGGCCTCAGATAGTAAAACTATGTAAAAACAAAATTGTCGAAATATATACAAGCCGCTTAAGCTTTACACATACAATATGTACTTATAAGTTTCCAAGTATTAATAAATTGAAGAAAATACTAGGAGAAAGAAAGAAAAAAAGAAAGAGTACACATCCTTCACTTTAACGCCATAATTGAGAATTGCAGTTGATTGCTAATTGAAATTTCCTCTATAGGTAATTATATAAAAAATATTAAAATTTATATTTAATATTTAACTGATTGACGTGTTGTCTATGTATATGTGTACAAATATATATCTACTAGGTATTATATACAGTTAACTAAGTTTATACATATAGGCACATACGTCGTATGATTGATATGACGAAGCTTAAGAAAATATCTTGTATGATGAAAATTTTGGTTAAAGCATAGAAATGAAATATGTATACTTATATATACTGGCCTATATTTATTGGCATAGTCGCGATTCAAATTAATTCCTATCTTTGTAATCACGTGACAATTTCATTATTATGTAATAGAATCAATATTAATAAATATTTCTTTTTGAAAAAAAAACTCACTGTAACGAAAGCGATAGCCATTGATAATCCTGAATTACAATGGTGTCGCGTATTGTAAATTCAAATCAGATTTCTCATTGCAGTCTTTTGACAGTTCCACAATTTGTGACCTGTAACATTATAAAGGATTTAAAATATTGTATAAACTTTAACGATCAATCTCCTACGTCAGAGTCGCCATCGCCTATGGCATAAAGAATATGGAAGGCAATTCCAAGTAGCGCAGTTCCTATAAGATCACCTGCTGCTGTTAAATACGGTATCGCAGAACTGTCTGGATCCATACCTCTTATCCACATCCAAATAACCATTAATTGCGCAATATATAACAACAGGATTACCTAAAAATTAAATAAGCAAATTTAATCAATATTAATAATTTTTTTTAAATTTCAGCCAATATCATTTTTTATAAAAATTAACATATATATTATATATATATGTATATATATATATATATATATATACTATACCTGTAACATTGCAGCGATCAAATATATCGTGATAAATATAGGTGTGAATGAGGTATGCCCCGCCTGAAGGTAACTAATCGTGTAACTAAAGATTAAGTGCCCTGGTATCACCATCATCAGTAATACTCTAGCTGTCCTCGCGTGTCCTCCTGTTAAAAATTCCTTGTAACAAATTTACGAACATATAATTATATTTTGTATTAGGTGTTGGAATTAATTCGTAGCGTTTTTAATGAAAGAATGTTATTTATTTCACATGAGCATTAAAAAATACATTAATGAAAGTACTTCCCATCACTTGTAAAACGCTACGAATTAATTCCAACACCTAATACAAAAACGTTCATAGTAAACTCACCTTTAGCAAAAAATGCGTGGAATGGACTAATGCAAACGTTGAGAGTTTTTTGAACACCCGTGTGATAATCTTTATGTAGGGACGTCGATATTCTACTGGCTTGAACGGCAACCAAGTTTCCCCCAACGCCATTAATTACTAATTGAAAGACCGCTATGCCTTTGTAGCTTGATATGGTGTAGTCCAAAATCAGTCCACCAAGACTAAAATCAATGTTATTCGTTGACGCGCATTCACTTCATAAAATTTTTATAAAATGTGCAAGGAAAAATAATTACCTGCTAATTAACATCGCGGATATCACAGGCGTCCAGCCGTAATCCAATACTTCTTTAGTAAATGGATTTCTAGCTGCTATGTACCCCCATACAGGAGTTATAAATACACAATATGCTATCAATAATGGAGCTGCCCACGGAGCGCTACCTAAAAAATTCGTCAATTTTTTAATCAAATAAGCACAATATGATAAAACAATCATTTATACCTATTGCTTTATATAATATAGAAGCGATCCAGGATAAAAGAGCTAAAGTAGTTAGATCTCCTAAGGAAGCCGCGATCGGCGTAGCGACATTGTCAGGATTGATGTTCATTCGTCGCGACAATAGTATGACTGCGACCATCACGAGGCCCAAGACGAAACTAGCTACGGAAGCGGTGATCAAGGCACTGGCACATAATAAGAGTCCATGATGAATATCGAAGTGAGCTTCCGGAATCCAACCAAGAATCACAGCTGCCAAGGACGCCAGTAAACCAACTACCATAGCCTGACATTGAATTAAGGCTAAATTTCCCATAACCAATGTCCATTGTTGTTTCGTCGTATCCATTTGACCCAGATTAGCTTGAGTCGACAATCTGGAGGCCAATGTCATCTCCAGGTTTCCTTTCAAACCCAGTAGTGCAGGAACTAATATGTATACTTCGGATACCACTTGATACACTGGCCAATGCTAAAATTCAACGTTTCATTCATGAGATTTATTACCTTTGAATATGCATTAGAAAATAGTGTGTAAGTAATAGTGTTCATAATTAGTTCTTGAGAGACGTGATAAAAATTTTTATTGTTAGTAAAGAGAAACAAATTGCTAATAATATCGTATCTTATTTATTTTCTATTTCAGAATTCCTAAAAAATATGACTGTGATAAAATATAACTGTCCATTTTAATCGATATAGATTAACTTTAATCTTAAATTACTTTAATTTATTTAAAAAATTTTTTTTTCTAGAGTTAACTTAGAAGGAGACAAGTTAAATAGAGATTATTAAAATTAATCTACATTGATAGAAAAAAAAACAAGAATCAATTTTTAATACCTGCACCACGTCTAGCAGCAAACTAGCGGCAACCATGCCGAAGCCGGCAAGTAGGAAGGGTATAAACATCTGGATAGATATAGACCAGACGGTTTCATCGTCCGCATTTTCCATCTCATTTCTTTGATTGTCCTTTTTTCCGCTGCTAAATACGACACTCTCGCTGTCCAATGGTATCAGCCGCTGTATATCGCCCTTTTCGTTTTCATCGCTCTCGTCTTCAGAGTTGATTTCCAATTCCATATTGTTGATATCGGTGATGGTCGAAATAAATAGCTCGTCGCTACCTAGTCCCACCATTTTATTCGGTAGTGAGCTGCTTTTTCCTAATTGCCTGCGACGGAGTTTATTGTCCCCAAAGCGGTTTTCTTGTACCTTCGCATGGCTCATCCTCGTTAGCTTTCCTTTTGCGAATCACCGGCCAATACTGCGATAAAAAAACCGAGTGATTCGTTAGAGCAGCCAAAAAAATATCTGCAAATTTTTTGAAATAATTATTTAAATTTCACACATGTCTGATGTTTAATTTATAAATTGGATATTATCAGTAAATTCGCAGGATTGAAGAGGTAATTTAGAGCTAATTTGTCGATAAAAAATATACTTGAGATTAATTGTTCATGATGAGGATAATATTATAATATGTCTCATAACATATTTTTAGTCTAACGTTAATAAAAATTTAATGAAACCTGTGTAAAGAAAAAAGTTGACAGAAAGTTTATTAGAAAGTTTATTAGAATTTCATTAAGGATAATCCATATTGCCAGCAAAATGGTAGATTCGTTTTCTTACAACACTCAGGTATCGTACATAATCTACTATTTAAGATGAAGACTTGAACGTGTAACTAGAGTTACGTAAGCGAAAGATATATTTCGTCACGTTTGTTCTAGTCTGTTTTTAGAGTTGGATCTAATTTAGACCATCCCCACCGTTGGTTTTGCAAGCTCCTGACTCTCTTCTTTCTTTCTTTTTATTTCATCAAGTCTCTTAATGCTGTTATTCTAAAATAATCTTATATTTATATAATACAATTCCGCGAGAAAAGGAGATTGCAGTAATGACGTATGAGTTAAATTACTTTTTAGTACAGTTTTTATAAAGAATTACTAAATTTTTATAAATAATCTGTAAATTTTCTTGTGAATTAATAATACATGAAAGAATTTTAAATCTAATTAATTTATTAATATAAATTGCTCCCTTTCATTATAAAACTTGATTAATAATTTGTCTTTAAAGTATTTTTAAATTATATGAAAATTATATAACAAACAATAATTTAAAAAAGATAATATAAAAAAATTTATAAAATAAAATAATATAATTTTATAAAGACTATCCGGTAATCTTTTATCACGTAAGATTACTTATTGCATAAAACGCTACGAATTAATTCCAACACCTAATAATATTATCAAAGTTCTGCAATGTCATTTTCAGATAGTTATTATATAAAAAATCAATATCATTTTCAGATAGTTGTAAAGAATTTTGTATTTCACAAATCGATATTCACGTAAAATTGTATTTCCTTAAAGTTCACGTTAGCGATAGAAAGCGCATTTGCTGTTTGTGCCAAAGATTTGAGTTAGAAAATCCAGAACACTTATGTTAGATTTTATTTGATCATCTCTCAGAAGACAAACCACTGAGAGAGTATTTGCCATTATAACAATTGACCTCTTCTAGTAGACCGCTTAGAATCAGTATTAAAACTATAGATCCTGTATACATATTTGCGGATGTATGCAGAAGAATTACGTCTCTGTGACAAGAGACTACAGACTTATTATTAGAAGAAAACTAACTAATTAATAAAAAAAACTAATTTCAATTAATGACAAAAAGTACAATTTAATTTTCATAAATGTCGTAAACTTTATTACTTATATCACTTCGAAAAGATGTATTGTCTCAAAATAATATTTATGAATGCTTTTTTTTCTAAATATTTATTGACATAATATAAAAGTTGTGTAGCATAAAATATAAAAGTTATGTAGAATAATATAAAAGTTGTGTAGCAATCGTGGTATAAAGAGTTACGCGTCTGCTCTTTGTGCCAAAGACCCGGTGCCAAGGATCCACACAGAACATGTCTAGATTTTATTTAAATCGTCATCTCTCTTAACGAAGGCAATTGCAAATCACACAGAATATTTTTGGTATGAAAATCTTTTTTTAATAGACCATTCGATATCAACATTAAATCTTATATATGGATATGCAGAAGAGATTATCACGTTTCTAGCAAGAGACTATAGACTTATTGTTAGAAAAACGTTCATTTACATTGAGTAAAATATAAAATCGTATTATAAAACAATTTCAAGACTTTTAGTTTTTTAAAACAATAGAATACGACAAATCGCAAATATGTGTCACACGCGGGAATTAAAACGCAATAATAAATTAATAACAAATTAATAGTTCAATAATAAAAATATAATTGTATGTTTCTTTCTTCGTTTCTTTCTTTGTTTCGGCTTTCTCTTCAAATCATCTTCAGTATGTATTAAGAAAATTGTGTCAAAGATGTATTTTATTGTTTACAAAGCGATTACAAAGCGGAATACTGTTTCATTGAGGATATGTCAAAATCATAAAGGTTGCTATGTATCAACATAATGGATATAATTTCCACTGCAAATAAATTAATTTGGTTTTAATATCAAAAATAGAAATTTAAATATAGTAAAGTCATCGAGAGTTAGAACAGACTAAAAAGATAATAAAAAATAAAAATAATAAAAAACAGGTAAATGATTTACTATATTGATACCAAGCCTTTGTAATTATGACATCTTCAATCATGGAGCATTGTGTTTGTGGTTCACAGTAAGATTCTTGTACACAACCTTGTTAAGATACACACATGCTGAAGATGATTACAAAAGAGAGCCGAAACGTACAATTATTAAACGTAATAGGCATGTTCTTTTTAGCTGAACTTTTTGCACGGTTCATCTTTTACTTTTTTTCTCTAAAAATGAAGAGAAAAGAAAAAGAACCAAGAAGTTTAACTAAAAAAAAACAGGCTTATTACTTTTATTAGTGAATATTATTTCAGTACTACAATAATAAATTAATAATAAATTTTAGATATTAATACGCTCTAGTTACTGATCGTGTTTGTCGGTTGTTGTACACTATTATTTTGTCCATATCACGAGTCTTATTATATATATTTTGATTTTTTTAATATAAATATCTCTGGAATGCTCCTTATCATATATTACAAGGAACAGATAATATGGCTGCATCAGGCGGAAAAAGCAATTTAATGAAAAAGTTCTTTCATATAATTGGTTCTTGTCCTTAATTTTTTGTTTTTAAAGATTTGTTTTATTGTTGCTGGACTTACACTAAACTTTTCTTTCTCATTTTCGCCAAAGTTTAAATAAATATTTATTTCATTTTAAGTATAAAATGTATACTAACAGATTTTGGGTGTAAAAACCAATCATACGATTTGTTTTTATTGCTAAATTACAGAATTTTAATTTCTGCTCTTATTAAATGTCAAACGTATGTTTATTTCATTTTAAGTATAAAGAATATACAATAGTTCTCCAATTATAAAAAATAAAATATATAATAAAGAATTTATTTACTGAGATCAAATAAAAACAAATTTCTAATAAAAAAATCACATTAGACGATCACTAACCTATTTTGTGTTTGAAAAATATGTTATCAGAGCTATTGTGTTTATCATTCATTAGACGTAAAACAAGGACGCAGTAGCACTGAATGTAGCCTATAGGTTCGTTCTTTTCAGCTAGACTTTTAGTAAAATTCATTTTTCTTTCTACATTGAAGAAAAAAAAGAAAAAATAAACGCAACACAAGAAGTTAATTATTTCCAGCACGAGATACAGTGTAAGATACATAGAAAAACTTTTACTTTTATAGTAAGATGTAAGGAGTAAGAAAATCAAGATGTTAGATTTGTTACTACTTATGTCTTACTGCTTAAGTTTTTTGTGTATCATGGCTCTCAGATTAAAGATTGGGATTATATTGGAATTTAATCAATCGAAGCAAAGTTCATCAAACATAAGTTCAGTATTTTTTTTTGTGCCTGTTTCTATTAATGTAGTTTAATTTCAATCCTGGTTCAACTAATTCTTCAGTCTTTTTAAGAATTACAAAAAGATAAAGAGTAAATTAAATCAAGATTAAAATTAAACTACATTGTAGAAACAGGCATTGGTTAAATTCGAATCCAATCTCAATTCTTAATTTAATTACTTTTATGGTCTCTATTATGATAAGCTAATTTGCTTAATGTTTAGGTTTTGTTACTTAAATTTTTGTGTGCCATATTCTTAATATAATGATCATTTCAGCTTTGTTTAACATTGCCAATCAATAAGGATGTAACTGATTTATACTGTGTCATCTACATCTCTTATTGGAAAATATTTTGGATAATAGTCACGCATCATAACAGATAAATAACAAGTTATCTGCAAATAAAAAGATTCATAAAAGTAAGAAATAAGTTTTCGATTTAATTGTTACAATATTTTAAATATATTCGATTATTTTCCCTAAATTTGTCAAAGTTTACCTAATGTTTTGCTAAAATCATCTAATAAACGAGAATGGATTAAAATAGATTGAAATTTTTTTCTATCTGAATGCATATTTTATATATAAATAGCAAATACTTTTTTTGGATTTAATTGGATTCAATTGGATGCAATTGGATTGAAAAACTGCATTTCCTATTCAAAATTTTGAATTGAACAGTATTCACAATGTGTGTTTGTGTGTGTGTGTGTGTGTGTGTGTGTGTGTGTGTGTGTGTGCACAGAAAAAGCTAATATTATTTTTAGATTGAAAAGCATAGAGATATGCTTCATGCAATTCCTATAAATGAATAAAAATACAGGATTGAAAAGTATTTATTTTAACATTCGTGAATCAATATTTCTGAAAATCTGAATCCATTTCAATTCATTTCAATCCATTCTCGTTTACTGGGCGGTTAAAATTTTAAATTATACAATATTATTTATTGTCATATTTCCATTAACTGATATTGATCCGTTGTTTTACTTCAGTTTCGCCAGGAAAAAGATTCTTTCAATACCTAATATTCTAAACGAAACTCTATAATACTTCAATTTATTTTTAATGCACTTAAAACGTCGCGATTAATTTTTGCATTGAAATGTTCGCACTATGAAAAATGTATAACCTCTGCGTAGCGAATCCTAAAAGTCGCACGATACATAAACACATTTTGCGATTTCGTCTACAAATCTTCAATAGATAACCGTGCTTTCAGAACGCTTAATTCATAAAAGCAAATTTTTATCTTCGTTTCAACAAAAGAATAGATTCCTCTTTGCTCGCGCAGTTGCCTGACAGCTGCTGATAGCTCAACCGTCATAACCTCAAAGTGCTACGTACCTCAAATACACGATTTTTCTTCGCGTGTTGGTCCATCGGCTGATCATAAGAGCGATACTTCCGCGTACGATGTCCAAGATAATTCCGGATTCCTCAAAAAGAAACAAAAAGTCCCTCGTCGAGTTCACCGAGTAATTCTAATCATTTTAATCAATTCTAATTCACTGACAAGCATGCAGCGTGAAGTACGCTGCGTATCTATATCAATTCAATAATTACGCGCAGTGTTGAGTGAAATTGTCGCCGAGTCGGACGAAGTTCGATACTATCGAACCGGCCGGCCGCTTGCGATTCTCGAATGACGATTCAAGCCGTCGCGCGCGCATGGTATCTTTCCTAAATTTTCGCATAGAAATCGCGTAGATTTGTTGAAATACGAGTGCTAAAATGGAGCAGACGTTGTGACAACCTGAAAGGATGTAGGAAACGGGATGGCATGGCTAGTTGAGACAGAGGGTGATGGATAATCATCGTCGCAGGTGAACGATCGTCGCATGTCAAAGAGTACGTAACTAATATGTGTATTAAAGTGTGGATTAAGAGTGATATAATTGCACCGGGCCAAGTTTTTTCATGCACTTGAAATTCTCGTTTATGAAATGTACGATAAATAATGAATGGAATGATCTAATGGAAGCAATAATGATTTTCGATACTGCTGATATTTTGAGACGCATGTACTTCCTGTCAGTGAAAGATGGTACCGTCTTGGTGAAAATAAAAATTTGATTATAAGTCAAACGTAAGAGCTGGAGAGTGATAGAAACGTAAACGAAACTTTGGGAGACGAAAATTGAGACAACAAAATATTAAAAAGGCGTTTATACGTTTTTATCCTCTTTAGCAAAATAATAAAGTCACAGAATAATATCATGATAGTCACGAGGTCTGTCTCATGCTCCAATATGCTCCAATATGCTCTTATTCCAATGAACACGTTGGAATTATGGTATAAACATATTGAAGTATGTTGGAGCATGCCACACAAATAAATTTATGATGACGTGTGAATGTTCATTTTGTAAAAGGTATAATATCGCTATGTGATATCATTATGAAGCTGTGATAAAAATTGCACTTTGACATTGCTTTGACATTGACTATGAAACATATACAGAAGATAATAATTGCTGCGTTTCTTTTAGGAAACATAATCGATATAAGTGTCATTTTATTTTTATTCATTGCATGTCAAGAAGATCAGAATAGATTTGTGTCGAGTATACCTCCTATAAGGAAATGTAATCACTGCCACTTTTTGATAATTTTACGATAACGACTCAATTTATCCATGACTATTGTGATGTGAATGTAACTTATTTTTTTTTGGGGGAGGAGACGTTTTGTTGTCTTAATTTTCACCTCCTATACTTTAATAATAATTTAGTAGTGACATATTAATTAAACATGGGGATATATTGAGCCAATATTGGGCTAATATTGGACTAATATTATTCAAATAATAATTATGCTATTAAGATATATAGAAGCTTTGTTTATATGTTTCTGTTAGGGCTCAAACACAAATGGAATAAGGAATAAATAAACAAGGTACAGATTTCAACCTACTAAAAACTGGATACATAGGAACACAGAGTGTTTTTCATTTAGTGACACAAATCAACACAAATATCATTTTATCTTTCTTTATATTCTATAAATAACAAAGATAAAACGATACTTGTGTTGACTTGTATCACAACTCATAGTTTCTGATTGGTTGAAATTTGTTATTCCTTGTTCCTTATTCCTTATTTTTTTCTTCGGTCGATATTCATAGTCGGTTCTTATTTTAAGACCGTCTTAAGTAATGTCTTAAGTCGCTAATGCGGCCTTCTGACTGGTTTGTGACTTTTTAAAACTGTACTGAAGACGGTCTTGAATATAAGATCTGACTATGAATACCGGCCATTGTGTCTGACTCCTTACTTTCTTCTTACATTTGACTTACATATTCCAATTTTTATTTTCACAAAAGCATTTTTCAAGTGCATGTAGGAATTTACATGTCTGATGAAATATAAACTTACCGAAATTGTAGCAATTTTATGTGATTAAAAAGATATTAAATGTTGGGACATAATAAAATATTCAACTATATGTCCATTATGTATGTATATATGATAACAAAATCAAATAATATTTTAATAAATATTTTAATAAATATTTTATATGTATCCAATTAATCTAATTAATTATGAAGAAAATTAATATTACACAGAAAAGAAAAAATTGCGAATAAAAGTATTTTATTTTTATTTGTGCTATAATATTAATTATTTTTAATTATATATAAAATTATTTATTTATAAACTC